GACCGCCTTTGTCTCCCCCAGTGGCAATGTTTGCACACCACGCGTCAGAACAAAATCGAAGGGGTGCATTTACCCCCCCCCCCCTGCCCCCTTTTCCATACGGAGCAACACCCGGGCAGATGTCTCAGTCGGCACGAGGTCCACTCCCAGATAGCTGTGCTGCAGTGTCCCTTGTGATGGAGTTCAACGCAATACCGGTACCAGACCTTGTGGTGAGATTGAACTCTTGCCGCCCGAACACAGATGCCCATTCCTGGACTCTTCCTGGACACTTCGCGAGAGTTGGCGACCAAGGGTGGATAGGTGGACGAGTGAGTGGGTGAGTGAGTGGTTGAATTAATGAGTGACGTGGTAAAGGGATGAGTGAATTAATTAACGAGTGGGTGAGTGGTTGAGTGTTTGGGTGAGTGGGTGGGTGGTTGAGTGTTTGGTTGAGTGGGTGAGTAGATGAGTGAGTGGGTGAGTGGTTGAGTGTTTGGGTGAGTGGGTGAGTAGATGAGTGAGTGGGTGAAGGGGTTGCCACCTTTTCGTCCCCTGCGCGTACAAAAAAAAAACACTCCACTTATTCACCAGGAGTGAGAGAGAGAGAGTGAGAGAGAGAGTGCGAGAGAGTGAGAGAGTAAATGAATACGAATCGATACCCGGGGTCGGCAGTGGGATGGAGACGTGGGTGGAATGTGTGCGTGTTGTTGTTGTTGTGTGCATGTAGCTGGTGCATCTGTCAGTCATCTCCATCAGTCAACCCATTGCACCTAGCTGGGTCTGTCTCGTGACCTCCTGCCGGCAGCGAGCCCTCGACACTTCACGCGATGGCCTAAACGCGCACCTAGCCTGGCACAAGCGCTGCGGTGACGTCGCCACCACTTAGTTGTTGTTGTTGTGCGTGTAGTGTGGGCTAGCGGTGGTGCAGCGGTTAGCCGCTACGCTACAATTCCGGCGACCGGTTCGGTTCCCGCTCACGGCCAACACCAATGACGATTACCAGTACCAGTCCTGAGTCTCCCCTAGGTCGATTCAGCCTTAAATGAGCACCTGGTGTGGTGTGTAAAAACATCGCCACTGGGGAGACAAAGACGGCCAACCCGGCATGGTGTCGGCCACCCACCTACAGCACTTGCCCCGACAGTCTGTTAACGGATATACGGGGGATATTTGTATTTGCCTTTGTGTGTGCGCGATCGCTCTTACATAAGCGCACTGCAAGCGGAGCGTGTGATTAGCATGCAGCGGCCGTGCCCACACTGATTCCACACCGCACGTGCCAGCCGCTGCTGCCGCTCCAGGTGGATGTTGCTGCTGGTGGCGGTGGTCGTGGTAGTGGTCGTGGTGGTGGTCAGTCAGAGGAGCGACGCTCACAACAACGATGCGGAGCGCCGGGCGGGTAAAACGCACCAAGTGAGCACAGTGGGAGCACGGCTGGTGCATCTGCCAGTCGTCTCGGCCAGTCCAACCCACTTCACCTGGGTCTGTCCCGTGACCTCCTGTCAGCTAGCGTCATTGCACGTGGTATAAAAGTGCACCTAGCCTGGCACAAGCGCCGTGGCGAGGTCATCGCGGCTGTTGTTATCGTTGATTTGTGGATCCGCGCTCAGCTGCTGCCTTTGTCTCTGCTGGCGACCGTTGCTCACCGAACGCCACTTAGCTGCAGCGTCCTCACGACCACCGCGCAGCAGAGCCGAGCCGTGCTGGGCCGTGTCAGCTGCCAGCTCGCTTCTTGGCCCAGGACCGCAGCTGCTATCGAGTGCGCATGCGGTGCAACTGCACCGGGGCCCACGGGCAGGAGGGTCTCATGCGCCGGGCTACAGAACGACAGAATTGTACTCCCCCACACTTAATTCCCCGCACCGGGGTCCATTTCTACCCACGCTCCCGCCGCCGGCTCACCCCCCACCTATCACCCCCCCCACCCCCACCATCTCTCGCTTCCTCCATGACAGAAGGGAATTAATTGTATTGTCGGTGCTTACGACGATTTAGGCTCGCTTGGGTTCAGTGGCGCCGATTTCAGTTCCACGCTATCCCAGCTGAAGGCCCCCCCCCCCGGCCACGGCATTTGTAAAATGTTTCGACCGCTCGCACGCCAAGCGCGTGGCTCACGGCGTTGGCCACAGCAATTGGCGCCAAGCAGCGGGGGTCTTCTCTCGTCCCCGCCGGCCCCCGGCGCGACGCCGTGAGAGCGGCTCTCGCAGCAGCCTGCGGTGACCGCGCGGTAAGCCAAGGAATGATAGCGACTGTGAGACTCGCGCTGCGGCCGCGTCCCAGACACTCTGCTTGGAGCGCTGTCCCCTCGCAGCGTGTGGGGTTTTCTCCGGGCGCTCCGGTTTCCTCCCACGTGTATAATTAACACACATATCAATCGGTCGATAAACACCTTAACGTATAGAGGACCTCAGAGCTTGGAGCAATTGGTAGCCCCGGCTCCCGCTCGTCTGTAGTTCCTCCTCCTCCTCCTGGCGCCTCTGAGTCGTTCTCGATCTTTTTTATTTAGAGCGAGCGAATACCGTGCACACTAGAAGTTGAACATATTATAACTGTGAAGAAGCTATAGCCGGAACACTACCATGAGCCATGAAGCCAGTCAGCTGTGAAGACACAAGCGATGAAGAATCTGGAAACCTGCCGGTGTATCGGCCGAGCAGCACACAGCGGCATCCAATCCCACACGATATACTGAGCCAGGCCCTGGCGGCTATGCTGCTGCACGTGGCTGCCTGCAATTCAGCACTGTGGAGGCATCAGCGGAGGTTGGTGGATCACACAGAGATGATGTGAAACTCCCATCCCATAGTTATCGAGGAGGTGCCGTACCCTGGCTCGCCCAGAGAACGCTGTACAGCAACAACAAAAACTACAACAACTCCACCTGATCCGTCTGTATGGGATAGAGCGTTTCCCCCTTGCTCGCACGTGCAAAGTTTCCTCCCACGTGTCTAATAAAGACTCACGAATTGGCCAATAACACCTTGCTATGTCAAAAGCCGCAATTGTTGGTGGCGCCGGGCGAGAGCGAGGAGGAACACTGTGTGGCGGCGGCGGCGCGTTACAAGTTGACGTCGATATTACATCGCTCCTCCGTGTACCGGCCAGTGCGGTGTCGGTTCCTCAATGTGCAATTTTTCCAAAAAAATCCCCGTGCACACGCTGAGCACGAGTTGCCTCCAGGGTCACCGCCTGCTCCACACACAGAACAGAACCGGGCCAGTTTGCTCGGTCCAAATCAATTCCTGCCACCCGACTACGGATGCCAATTTCCCCCAATTGTCCCGGTGGGTACCCGGAACAGTTGGCAACCCCGAGGGAGAGGATGTGTGATCGCGTGAGTGGATGAGTTACCGAGTGACGAACGAGTGAATGCAATTAATGGGTGAGGATGTGAGTCGTGAGCGAATATTCATATTTACTCATTTATCCGGGAAGGCCACCCTGAGTCCCAGGACTCGTTTTCAGGAAGTTTCGGCTGACATTTGGGGTTTTTTTTTATTTGAAAAAAATTTCAGCGAAATTAATGACGAGTCGTGTTTACACACGTGGGAGGAAAGCGGAGCATCCGGGAAAAAAAGATCCACGCACGCGAGGGGGCAACACTCGATTCCCTTACAGATGGACGCAGGTGGACAAAGGTCAACTCTGCTGTATCGCCGTATCCTGGCGAGTACGGTACCTCCTCGACGCCCACGGGGAAAGGGAGTTTCACAGCCCATCTGTGCGGTGATCCACCAACCCTTGCTGCTGCTGCTGCTACCTCCACAGTACTGGGTTACAGGCAGCCACGTGGGAAGCCACGGCAGCCAAACCCAGACACAGTTCTCAATCAGTCCTCGGTCTATTCTATCTAAACTGTGTTGCAGTAACCTGCAATATGGTTCAACACAAAACCAATACCAGATCTCGGTACAAATACATTCCTGCCACCCAAATTACCACAAATGCCAATTCCCAGGCAGGTGGCAACGCTAGCGTGGGTGGGCGGGTGATTGAGTGTATGAGTGGCTGAGTTACTGAGTGACTTGGCAAACGAACGAGTGAGCGGGTGAGTGGTTCAGTGATTGAGTGGCACGGGAGGGTTGGCACCTTTTTCGCACAGCACAAATCCGGACACTTGTCTTCGTCAGCCTAGGTTCATGCAAACCGTGCAGTCTGTACAGCAATACATTTCAACACAACGCCGGTACCAGATCTCGGTACAAAGCAATTCCTGCCACCCAAACACAGACACCGATTTCTCCAACCTGTCCCGGGTTAACCCGGGGCAGGTGGTAACTCCACTGCTGCAACCACCAGACGTACGATGCAGCACACAATGCAAGCAACACCACCGTGCAATAATACAAAGCAATGCATACGATACAATAATACAATGCTCCAGTGCAACACGACGATTTGTATAGATGGTTAATGTGACCGCATCAACAGACAATGCACAGAATACTGCTCTGTGGCTTACATGCGTGTTGTAACATGCGTGTTGTAACATGTGCCGCACACAAACAAAGACCCCCCCGTATAGCCTTCAACAGACCCTTGGAGGCAAGTGCTGTGAGCGAGCAACCTATGAAGGCGGGCACGAGAGGGGTGGGTGGCCAGCACCACGCCTGCCCCGCCGCCTTTGTCTCTCCAACACGAATGTTTTAAAGGCGTGCGCGGTGCCCTAACCACTGCGCCACCGCTCTCCACACACGCGCACGCACAGCCATTTCGTGTCACTCCACTGCTGGATGAGGACCTCTCCGCACACGGTGCCGGGTCGCACAGGGGGTACTTTGACCATACTTCACCAAGCTGGTCATTGTGAGTTGGCGAACGCGGAGAGCCAGAGGCGTGCAAAGCAGTGCCGAGCAGCAACTGGGCCTGCTGCACTGCCCTCTCTGCCGCTTCCCTTCCACGTTGCACAGCCGCGCACGGCAGAAGCAGCAGCCTATAGCACCTGCTATGTTGGTGCTGTGCGAGAGGCAATGGGTGCGTTGTAGTGGAGACAGCGCACACACACACGGAGTACTCACAGCACTCTGCACGTGTCTGTCTCCGGGGGTCCTGGTGTCTCCACGTGTCTGTCTCCGGGGGTCCTGGTGTCTCCACGTGTCTGTCTCCGGGGGTCCTGGTGTCTCCACGTGTCTGTCTCCGGGGGTCCTGGTGTCTCCACGTGAATGTCTCCGGGGGTGCTGGTGTCTCCACGTGAATGTCTCCCGAGCCCTGGTGTCTCCGCCTGCCAGCAACCGGGTCTGTGTGCGTGTCTTCAAATGTCTCCCTGTCTCTACGGAGATTTCTTAGCCACACGTTAGCCCCCTATGTCTCCCTGCGTCACTCTGTGTCCCCGTCTCCCTCTGTCTATGGAGGCCCTGTCTCCCCGTGTGGCTCGCTGTTTCTATGGAGATCCTGTCTCCCCGTGTCTCCGTTTCTATGGAAACCGTCTCCTCGTGTGTATCGCTGTTTCTTTAGAGACCCTGTCTCCCCGTGTCTACGTTTCTATGGCGACCGTCTCCCCGTATGTCTCCCTGTTTCTATGGAGACCCTGTCTCCCCGTGTGTCTCGCTGTCTCTATGGAGACCCCCGTGTCTCCCTGTGTGTCTCGCTGTCTCTATGGAGACCCCTGTGTCTCCCCGTGTGTCTCGCTGTCTCTATGGAGACCCCCGTGTCTCCCCGTCTGTCTCGCTGTCTCTATGGAGACCCCCGTCTCTCCCCGTGTGTCTCGCTGTCTCTATGGAGACCCCCGTCTCTCCCCGTGTGTCTCGCTGTCTCTATGGAGACCCCCGTGTCTCCCCGTGTCTCGCTGTCTCTATGGAGACCCCCGTCTCTCCCCGTGTGTCTCTCTATCTCTATGGAGACCCCCGTGTCTCCCCGTGTGTCTCGCTGTTTCTATGGAGACCCTGTCTCCCCGTGTGTCTCGCTGTCTCTATGGAGACCCCCGTCTCTCCCCGTGTGTCTCTCTATCTCTATGGAGACCCCCGTGTCTCCCCGTGTGTCTCGCTGTTTCTATGGAGACCCTGTCTCCCCGTGTGTCTCGCTGTCTCTATGGAGACCCCCGTGTCTCCCCGTGTCTCGCTGTCTCTATGGAGACCCCCGTGTCTCCCCGTGTGTCTCGCTGTCTCTATGGAGACCCCCGTGTCTCCCCGTGTGTCTCGCTGTCTCTATGGAGACCCCCGTGTCTCCCCGTGTCTCGCTGTCTCTATGGAGACCCCCGTCTCTCCTCGTGTCTCGCTGTCTCTATGGAGACCCCCGTGTGTCTCGCTGTCTCTATGGAGACCCCCGTGTCTCCCCGTGTGTCTCGTTGTCTCTATGGAGACCCCCGTGTCTCCCCGTGTGTCTCGCTGTCTCTATGGAGACCCCCGTGTCTCCCCGTGTGTCTCGCTGTCTCTATGGAGACCCCCGTGTCTCCCCGTGTGTCTCGCTGTCTCTATGGAGACCCCCGTGTCTCCCCGTGTGTCTCGCTGTTTCTATGGAGACCCTGTCTCCCCGTGTGTCTCGCTGTCTCTATGGAGACCCCCGTGTCTCCCCGTGTCTCGCTGTCTCTATGGAGACCCCCGTGTCTCCCCGTGTGTCTCGCTGTCTCTATGGAGACCCCTGTGTCTCCCCGTGTGTCTTGCTGTCTCTATGGAGACCCCCGTGTCTCCTCGTGTGTCTCGCTGTCTCTATGGAGACCCCCGTGTCTCCCCGTGTGTCTCGCTGTCTCTATGGAGACCCCCGTGTCTCCCCGTGTCTCGCTGTCTCTATGGAGACCGCCGTGTCTCGCTGTCTCTATGGAGACCCCCGTGTCTCCCCGTGTGTCTCGCTGTCTCTATGGAGACCCCCGTGTCTCCCCGTGTGTATCGCTGTCTCTATGGAGACCCCCGTGTCTCCCCGTGTGTATCGCTGTCTCTATGGAGATCCCCGTGTCTCCCCGTGTGTCTCGCTGTCTCTATGGAGACCCCCGTCTCTCCTCGTGTGTCTCGCTGTCTCTATGGAGACCCCCGTGTCTCCCCGTGTGTCTCGCTGTCTCTATGGAGACCCCCGTGTCTCCCCGTGTGTATCGCTGTCTCTATGGAGATCCCCGTGTCTCCCCGTGTGTATCGCTGTCTCTATGGAGATCCCCGTGTCTCCCCGTGTGTCTCGCTGTCTCTATGGAGACCCCCGTGTCTCCCCGTGTGTCTCGCTGTCTCTATGGAGATCCCCGTGTTTCCCCGTGTCTCGCTGTCTCTATGGAGACCCCCGTGTCTCCCCGTGTGTCTCGCTGTCTCTATGGAGACCCCCGTGTCTCCCCGTGTGTCTCGCTGTCTCTATGGAGACCCCCGTGTCTCCCCGTGTGTCTCGGTCTCCGCGCTAGGCTCTGTGATCGTGACGCTCCACTCCGGTCCAGAACGCTCCTCCCGGGCGCGACCATTCCACACTCGGCGTTCAATGACAACATTTTGACTCAACCCCCGAACTACAACTCAATTATCTAAGTGGAACACACTCACTGATATGATCTTTAGTCTCCTAAATGAGTTTTGCCTCTCAAACGTTTTAAATGTTTTAGGTGGGAAAAAAAAACCCACCCCTGCCACTTTGGTTTAACCCACCGGGAATCTGTGCAAGGGGCGTGACGTCACGTTGAGGCACACGGTGAGTGACGTCACGCACAAACAATCTCCACGGCAACCGTTGACGTCACGGGCGGTAACCTCACAAACCCCAAGCGGGGTATACGACTCCAAGCGGTCGAACGACGGAATAATTCGCGGGTGACGTCACGGATGATGCACACACACGCACGACACGAATGACGTCAAATATAAAAAACTCAACATATTGCGTTGGTGGTGATGCTGCTGTGTTGGCAGTCGTAGGCAACTACAATTAACAGCTCATTTAAAACAAAACATATACAGCCCCCGGGTTACGAAAGGGTTAGGTTCCCGAGAACGATTCGTAACCCGCATTTTCCATATGTAGGAAACTGAACACTTTCCCCTCAAAAATCAAGAAAAATTCCATTTAGTGGCCCTCCATAAATGACGTCACGCGGACAATTTTTGACCCCCCCCCCCCGCTCGTCACACGGCGTCACAAAAAGTCAGACCCCCCTCAAATATGACGTCACAAAGCTCTGCCCCCCCCCCAAACCATGTTTTCATTTTAAAATAAAACATGCTTCAAATCGCTTTAAACTATTGTCATTGTAGTGCGTATTTAATGTGGCGCTGCACTTTGATGTTGTGGGAGTGTTGTTATAACAATTCTATATTTATTTAAAGTTGCGCATTTCACAAACACCCCCCCCCCGTCACACATCGTCACAAATGTCTGATCCCCCCCCCCCCCCCGGGTGAGTGACGTCATTTATGGACGGCCCCTTAATGCAGTAACTTGATGTCTTGCAGAGGGTATCTATTCTGTGTTTGAACACCTTAACGCCTGTCCTATTGCCAGAAAGGGTGAACCCTACAGGCAGAACGGTCCCCATGCTAGGTGCCGAGTGTACTTGTTAGTGGTGGCTACTGGCCGTGCACCACAGCCAACGCAGCAGCAGCAATCCCCCTCGATGTTCTTATCTCAAGGTCCGATACATCTTTGCTTTGGTTTTTAAAAAGTTAACTCACAGGCGCCGCGTAAAATCGAAGCGTTTATTAACATTTGTCAATCGGCACAAATGGTGACCGCAAAACGTTTCAAATCAGTGTCCCTCTGCGTTGTCCCGAACGAGACGCCCCAGGATCCGGGCCGCGTCCAACTTCACTCGGAACACCGCCTCCACCACACGGCACCACCGCCTCCACCACACGGCACCACCGCCTCCACCACACGGCACCACCGCCTCCACCGCACGGCACCACCGCCTCCACCGCACGGCACCACCGCCTCCACCGCACCACCGCCTCCACCGCACGGCACCACCGCCTCCACCGCACCACCGCCTCCACCGCACGGCACCACCGCCTCCACCGCACGGCACCACCGCCCCTCCACCACACAGCACCACCGCCTCCACCACACGGAACACCACCTCCACCACACGGAACACCACCTCCACCACAACGGAACCCCCTGCTCGCTTCCACGACCAGTGTTACCCATTGGCTATCATCTTCTTTTGGGTTTGATCGCCGTGTAAAGTGTGTCGTGAGCCCTCCACCACCCAACGCAGCCACTTAACAAAGGCGTCACGCGAATCGAATGTGACGTGGCACCTAAAACTATTTAAACTATTTTTTATTTTACCAGGTAAAGCCCACTGAGCTACATAGCTATTTTTTATAAGTGACCTGGCCACACATGATAGCAGAACGACGTTGCTTATCACGTGGAAAATTCTAGCAGTGAAAGTCTGAATGCAAGTTGATTCTAAATGTCGAGGAAAAAACCGCAGGACCCGGAGAGAAGAATCCACACGACCATTTTTATCTCCTTGCCGACCCGCATCAGGAAGCGCCTTCACTCGTGATCCGAGTTCCTGTTGACAACCTGAGGATGCTGGATGTAGTCTCCAGAGAAACGTCCACGCAAATGTTACGAGACTCACAACAACAACAACGTCGGTGGTGGTGCTGGTGGTGCTGCTGCTGCTGAAGCAGCGATACATCCGGCCACGTGTCTATTCACGTGGGCACTTTTATTCGTTGACTCCGTCGGGTGGCGGAAGGTTTATGACGCACCATTTTATTTACACGACGACCGAACCTTAAAGAAACCAATTATTAATCAGAACATCCCGCCGTAGAATTTAGAACGTCAACAAAAACGTTGCCAATTTTGCCCGAAGTTTCGCTGGAGATCCAGCATCATCAGGTTGCTAGCGGGCGCTGAGTTCTCGCGACCGGCACAATTTCCAGTGAAACGTCGGACAAAACATTTCCAAAGTCTCGCCTGGGCTGTTCCACGTTCCGCCTCCTCAGCGTCCGTGTTTTGTTGTAAAACCCAAAATCAATCGGCACGTTGCCGACCCCGTGACTGGCACCATCGTTGGGCGGTGGCGGGCTCGCTTAAAAACATCTAGCCCAAAACAGAAAAAAACGAATTATGAAACTTGCCAAAGTTGGGCGAACGTCGGTACGTGGTTGTAACCGTTTGCCCAACCTTAGCCCGACGTTGGCTCGACATTGCACGATTTCTGGGCCAGCGGGTATAGCCCCCCTCCCCCACTGCGTCCTCCACCGTGCCGCAGCCCGCGGCCTTGCGCGTTTACGAGCTCTTCTTCGGGACCCTGATGGTCACCGTCTTCACCTCCGTGTACTCCTGCAGCCCGTACTCGCCCCTGCGCGAGACGAGAGGGAACAGAGAGAAACGCGCGAAGGTGAGCAGTGGCAGCAGTGGCAGCAGTGGCAGCAGCAGTGACAGCAGTGACAGCAGTGGCAGCAGTGGCAGCAGTGGCAGCAGTGACAGCAGTGGCAGCAGTGGCAGCAGCAGCAGGGGGGGAGGAGGAGGTGGTGGCGGCGGCGGTGAGCGGTCGCGCTGGGCCCCGGTGGCCGTGCTGGGCCACGCGGCCCGTAGCCCAGACGCGAGGGTTGGTGGATCACGGATGGCGCACGTTCGAGAAAATCCCTCCCCACGTACCCGCGGGCGTCGAGGTCGCCGTCCCTCCCGACTTGCCGGGGTGCGGGAGTACAGCAAGCGGGTTAACTTACGGCTGTACGGGGACTGAGCGTTCCC